GTCTCGCCAAGTTGCCCAGGTGGGTCTCGAACCCGGAGGCTCAGGCAATCCACTCACCTCGGCCTCCCAAAGCGCAGGATTACAGGCTAAGCCACCGAGCCCAGCAATTTTTTTTTTTAATTGTAGAGATGAGGTGTCGCCGTGTTGCCCAGTCTGGTCTCAAACTCCTGAGCTCAGGCAATCCTCTCACTTCCAACTCCCCAAAGTACTGGGATCACAGGCATGAGCCACCATACCCAGCCACCAGCATGTTCTAAAAGCCAATACTCAAAGAAGGAAGTGGCAAACATCTTTTAAGCGAATTCTTTGTCATCAGAACACATGGACCTCCTAAGGCCAGTAGAAGTCCTGGTAGTTCTGAGTGCTAGTTTTGAATCTGTTTTCCCTCTTTAGTTAGAATGGGAGCTAAGTTTAATAGGCTTGTCTACTCCTTAGCGGATTTTTTTTTTAATTTGACAAGGAACACTTCTTTATTGATAGTTATGTTTGTTAGCAAGGATTGTGACTCCATAGCAAGTAGAAGAAATCAGACCCCTTGAGAATATGCTGCTAGAGTCTGGTTAGCTCAGCATCCTTGTTTTTGTCAGCCTGGTCACCAGAAAGTAGCAATTCCTGGTTTCGTCCAGGAAGACTTGAATATTTTCAAGTGAACATAACGATTCTCACCTACTCGCACCTTAATGTCTATAACTTACTCCGGCAACTACTTGAGGTTTATGCTCTACAGCTTCATAGTCTTCATAACGCTCATTTGTTTCTTCTTCAAGCTGTGGTTTGACCTTCTCGGCAGTCTCCTGAATTTCGGGAGCGGCAGGTTTGGTGTCAGTGGAGCCTCCAGGGACCATTTTGGGTAACTGCTTCTGTCCTGGGTAGGACACTGGAACTGAGGTGACCAGGTGAGTGTGGAGACCTGCCTGCCTTCTTAAAGGTGTTCACAACTTTGCCTGTGGACTCTCCTTAGCGAATTTAAAAGCTTTAATATTTTAGGTCAGGTGCAGCGGTTCACACCTGTAATCCCAGCACTTTGGGAGGCTGAGGCAGGAGGATTGCCTGAGGCCAGGAATTTGAGATCAGCCTTGGCAACATAACAAAGCAAGACAACCGTCTCTACAAAAAATAAATCAAGCCAGGCTCGGTGGCTCAGCCTGAGCCCGCGGGTTCGAGACCCGCCTGGGCAGCGAGACCTCATCTCTACAATAAATCAAAAAATTAGCCAGGTCTGGTAGTTTGCGCCTGTAGTTGCAGTGACTTGGAAGGCTGAGGCGGAAGGATCACCGGAGCCCAGCAGGTCGAGGCTGCGGTGGACGGGAGCGGCCACTGCCCTCCAGCCTGGGCGAATAAATCAAGGAAAACCTTCCTCCTATTCCCTAAAAGAATGATTGTCATGGGTTTGTTTTCTTACCTGCTGGAAAATAATAAGGCTGCTGTGTCAGATGACCCCAGCTGCCCAGTAGGTTTGGTGACAGCCAGGTGAGAAGCAGGATGACACCACCAGGAACTGATCTGAAAGGCAAATCCCAGCCCACAGGGATTTTTTTTTTTTTTTTTAAAGAGTGGGCGGCCTGAGGATCACTGATTGCTCCCCATCTCTGCACTTTTTTTTTTTTTTTGAGTTGGAGTCTCACTCTGTCGCCCAGGCTGGAGTGCAGTGGCATACTCATGGCCACTGCAGCCTCAACCTGCTGGACTTAGGCGATCCTCCTGCCTCAGCCTCCTAAGTAGTTGGGACTACAAGGGTACACTACCCCACATGGTTAATTTTTTTTTCTGAGTAGGGGTTTTACTGTCACCCTGGCTACAGTGCAGTGGCATGCTCACGGCCACTGCAACCTCGACCTGCTGGGCTCAGGTGATCCTTCCATCTCAGCCTTCCAAGTAGCTGGACTACTGGCGCACGTCACCACGCCTGGCTAGTTATTGTCGAGACGAGGTCTCACCAAGTTGTCCAGGCTGGTCTCGAACCCCTGGGCTCAGGCAATCCTCTCGCCTCGGTCTCTCAAAGTGCCGGGATGACAGACCGAGCCACCGCGGCCAGCCTCTGCGCACTTTTAAGATGAAGCAGTTACGCGACCCTATAGCCTAAGAAGGTAAAGACAAGCAGACCAGAGAGAGAACACTTGTCTTCCCTCTCACTGGTGTGGAGCACCATCTGCCCCTTTGGGGGCTGGTTTGCAGCAAGCCATAAAGGAAAAGGACAAGATGGCAATTGTTCCTCAGGGCCACCCTCCAAAACACACCAGGTGAGACGGACACACACACACACACGTTCACCTTCCAGGTAGAGGGAGTCTTCGGGAGTCTGAGGGGAGCATCACAAATGCCCTCGCCACTGGGTGACCTCTGTTGGGCCACAAGGAGCGTCGGATTCTTTCTCTTTCTTTTCAGAGACAGGGTCTCACGGTCACCCAGGCGGGAACACAGTGCCTCCGCAATCCTAGCTCACTGCAGCCTCCCACTCCTGGGCTCAGGCAGTGCTGCCTCAGCCTGTAGCCCAACCTGTAGCTGGATTTTTTTGTTTTTTGAGGCGACAGGGTCTTGCCATGCTGCCAGGCTGGTCTCAATCTCCTGGCCTCAAGTGAGCCTCCTGCTTTGGCCTTCTAAAGTACCGGGATTACAGGTGTGGGCCACCACACCTGGCCGGAACGTCATTTAAGGTTGGTCCAACCCTCTCCTAGGAAACCCGAGCCCCAGGTGACCCAGCCAAGGCCTCATGTCAGTCAGCAGCAGGGCTGAGATGAACATCCTTTTCACCTGCCACCGTCACCCACAGATCAAGCCTTGGCCAGTGGCCAAACCTGAAGGACAGGAGAAGACTGATTCAGAAACAGCTTGCGAGCGGACCCCTGGAGAGGCTCCCAAATAGGACAGCAGAGCCGACCCTCCCAGCAAAGACCTCTGAGGGAGGAGGAGGGAAAGAGGAATACGGATAAATTTATTAGTTAAATACTGATTTTACAGCCATTTCACCTTAAGACAATGTTAAGGGGTTTGAGGGTTAGGGAAGGCATAGGCGGTGACCTTTGGGAAGGAAACAATGTAAATGATGATTAAAACAGAATCTTCGTTTAAAGGTATTCTCGGATACAGCCAGGGGGATTTTGGAGTGAGGGGCAGGGTGCTTCGGGGCAGGACACAGTGATGCCACAGTCAGCCGCAGCTCCGTGGATGACGGGGACAAGGAAGGAGTCTTGGAGAGCCCCGTGTCACAGGCGGGAGGGGCCTGAGCCATGTGTGGAGAAGTCGCTTGGTCCAGAGCCGCTCAGAGCTGGAGACCCCTCGAGGCCCACCCTTGGTGTCTTCTCTTATCCGCCGTCTTCTTTCTTTCCTTGAGTTTTGTTTTGTTGCTTGCTTCGAATTTGTGTTGCAGAATCTCTGGCTGTTGGCCTCCTGGACCAAAGGCTTCTGCTGGGGCAAGGACACAGGCCCAGGTGCCGGGGGCTCGGGCCACCATCAGAGAGCAAGAGGTCTCCGTCCACAGAACACGGCCACAGGACCAGAGCGTGGGGAGGTGTGGTGCGGGAGGCGTGCGTCCTCCACACCCCCGTCCTCAAGCAGGACAGAGTCCACCAGACACTCTCTCCAGAAGGACTCGAGGCCCAGGTGAGCATTTCCCAACTGGGCCTGAGCCACAGAACGTTTTGTTTTTCCTCGTTGCCCCTGGTGTGCACCGGGGTTGTCTTGAGGGGGTGTCGTTTGGCTGAACTGCTGAGCTCTTGTCTGGTGAGGGAGAGACACGTTTGTGCCCAAGGCAGAGCTGAATCGGTCAGAGCAGCGAGAGGGGCTGTTATGCCCGTTGGGGGGAGTCGGCAGGTTGCATCTTGAGAGAGCTAAGCTGTGGCAGGCGGAGCTTCGTGGGTGGTGGGTGGAGCTTCACCATGGGGAGGGTGAAGTGCCCCTCCCCCGTCTCCCAGGTCACATCTGCATTGCAGAGTCAGGTTTGGTCCTGGGGATATCGGGCCAGGCTGTGCCTCGAGGGGAGTGCTGGCAGGGGCAGGGGTTGCCCAAGGGCCCGGCACCTGGCCCATTCAGGTGCGTGCCAAGTGGATGCCCTCTCTCGAGGCCCTGCCCCCTCCGCCTGCTCTCAGATGCCCAGCACCAGGGACACGGTGGAACAGCCACCGCCACAGCGACGGACAGGCAGAAGGAAGGCACCTTGGGAAAGCAGTCTCCAACTCACGGGAGGGACGAAGCGTGCTCGTGGTGAAGGCTGGCCTCTCCTGTGTCAGCATCGGGGCTCCCCCTGGTCCCCCCACTTTGAAAAGGCACCCGAGGAAACCCAGCACCCACTTCCCCTGAACAGATCGCCAATTCAAGTTTCTTCCCAGCGGTTCTTCGGGAGTCATTCCCAGGCAGTGGAGGCCGGCCCCGGGGGCCCAGAGCTTCCGCCTCTGCTGTCCTCTGAGTCCCAGGTCCGCGTGGGAATGTGATGGGGGAAGAGGGGCGGTTACGCAGTGATGATGTCCCCATGACTGTCGGCCAGGACTAGGCTGTTCCAAGAGTCCTGCTTGGAGGTGGCCTGTGAAGACTGGCTCCCGGGAGACGTGTAGCCTTGTGGAGAGAGCTTCAGGGCCGAGAGCACCGGGTGGATGGAGGGCCCGTGGCCAGACATCGCGCTGACGGAGAACGTCTGAAAGGCAGAAAGTGTGGGATGATGCCCAGGGAGCTGCTCCTGAGGGTTCAGGAGGCCTGGGCTGGGGAGGAGCACTCCGCCCCACGGAGTCCCCGGACGGCGCCAACCCCAGGAAGGGGCAGGGCAGGGCAGGGGACCAAGGACCAATCGCCACCACCACTTCAGTTCAGCCCCAACCCTGTGAACTGGACGCAGAGGGCCCGGGTGATTCATCAGCTGCTTCTGAGCGCAGCAGCCAGTAGGCTCAAGGATACTGCGGTTTCTCAGAAGGCTCTGGCTATGCCAGGAGACCTGTTCTACAACCCTGTCACCATCACATCTCCACTTTCTGTTTTTTTGTTTGTTTGTTTGAGTCGGAGCCTCACTCCGCCGCCCAGGCTGGAGTGCAGTGGCTCGCTCACGGCCACCCCAGCGTCGACCTGCAAGGCTCCAGTGACCCTTCCGCCTCAGCCTTCCAAGGAGCTGGAATTACAGGTGCGAGCTACCGCACCCGGCTAATTTTTAATTCATTTTAGAGACGAGGTCTCCCAAGTTGCCGGGGCTGGTCTCGAACCCGCAGGCTCAGGCAATCCACTCGCCTCGGCCTCCCAAAGTGCTGGGACGACAGGCTGAGCCACCGAGCCCGGCCCACATCTCCACTTCCAAACAGAGACGCCATCCTCCCTGCCCAGAAGGAGCACCTGGCACTCCTGCTTCTGCGGGACAAGGCTCTCCCAGAGAACGAAAAACGCGTTAGGACACGGCCTCTCTCAGCTACGTGCAGATAAGAGACCACAGACAGGCAAAGGAAGACTGAGATGAAGCGTGGAGCATCTTGATCCCGGGAGAGGAGACTACAGAGGGGAGGGGACGGGGAAGTAGGAACCCAGGGACGTCATCATGTCGTACACAAGAGGACACTGGGGCCGATGCCAGGTATCTTCTGACACACGCAGAGCTGGGCCGCGTGAACGTGGCATCCTGCCTGTGACCTCCTTGCCAGGCCCCGGCCTGCCCTCCCTGCCCCCTGCAATTTCGAGGCCTTTGCTTATGCCAGTGGGCTCCTCTGTGCACCTCCTGCTAAAATCCTTCAGGGCCAAGATCTGACTCCCCGAATCTAGGAGACAGGCCTTCCTCAGGAGCCCCCTCCCACTCTTTCTCTCCAGTTGACCCTCACCTCCCCTCACCCTGACACAAGCGTCTGATTCAACCTGTGGTGGCGTGTTCTCTCTCCCCACCATCTGTGTCCAGCCCTAGACTCCCCTTTTCCTGGTCTCCAAAGGTTCTGACGCGGAGGAGACGCTGACATCTGAGCGGGCCAGCCGCGTGTCCACATCCCAAAGCTTGAGACGGTGTGTGGAAATACAGCCCCGTGCCGAGGGCCCTTGCCCGGACCAGGGCCCCGAGGACACAAAGTGGCCAGAAAGCGGGGTTTTCTGGCCCAGGGGCAGCTGGGCACTCGTGTCCTCCAGGGCTGCTGCAGTTTCTGTCCAATGCCCTGCCCCCCCGCCCTCGGCGAGTACCTGGGACATGGAGTTGCTGTGCCCGTAGTGAGACGACAGGCCCGGCTCTGTCTTGATGGGGCGCATCTCTTCACTGCCGCCGCTGCCGGTGGCGTTGCTGGAAGCGCTGCTGGTGGGAGGAAGGCTCTCGCTGCCCGAAGGACCTGGGCAAGACAAAGCCAGGACACTCAGACCAGGCAGCAACAAACAGACAGCGGCCCTCAGGACAGCCGGGTTAGGTCTGTATGAAGGGCTTTCTCTGCCTCGGCTAGGAGAGAAGCGGGGTTCTCGCCGGCGGAGGGCAAAGGCCCGCCAAATGATGGGCTTGTACCTGCCCTCCGAAACCCTTGAGCCCACTGGGGCTTCAGGATTCAGAACTTTCGGGAGACTTTTAAGATTGACTTTTGTGTTTAATGGTGTCTCACCAAGCTGGTCTTCAGTTCCTGGTTTCCAGTGAGCCTCCCACCTTGGCCTCCCAGGGTGCTGGGATGACAGGCATGCGCCCCACCCCAAATTTTACGTTTCACATTTTTTCTTTTTTGAGTTGGAGTCCCACTCGGTCACCCAGACCGGAGTGCAGTGGCCGCTCCCGGCCACCGCAGCCTCGACCCGCTGGGCTCCGGCGATCCTTCTGCCTCAGCCTTCCGAGTAGCCGGAATTACAGGCACGCGCTCCCATGCCCGGCTGATTTTTTCATTTATTGTAGAGATGAGGTCTCGCCGCCCAGGTGGGTCTCGAACTCACGGGCTCAGGCAATCCATTCGCCTCAGCCTCCCAAAGGCACGGGATGACAGGCTGAGCCACGAGCCCGGCTAGTTTCGCATTTTTATTACATCGTTTTCGTTTGTGAACAACGTGTGCGTACGTATGCATTTTCCGAGTCAGGGTCTCACTGTCACCCAGGCTGGAGTGCAGCGGCACCATCACCGCTCACCACAGCCTTGACTACCTGGGCTCAAGCGACCCCTTCCGCCTCAGCCGCCCGAGTGGCTGGGACTATTACAGGCACGCACCGCCATGCCCGACTAAATTTCAAATTTTTTGTAAAGACAGAGTCTTGCTGTGTTGCCCAGGCTGGTTTTGAACTGCTGGGCTCAAGCAATCCTCCCACTCAGCTGTCCAAAGTGCTAAGCCACCACGCCCAGCCTGTGGCTGAAAATTGTTTTTAACACAAACATGTATATTATAGAACATGTCCAGCGGGGTGTGGGACAACACCCTACAATCAAATGCATGAATATCCCTACAGTAAAACATATAACTTTCACACTCAGTGGGATAAAGAGAGACTACAAATAGCCTCATGTCTGTCAGATCAGGCTTTGCTGCCAATCCGGTTTCCTGGATTTGGAGTTCGGGGTCGGGGCTGCACACCTGAACCAAGAGCCTGCTCTGAGACTGCTGCGTGAGAGGAAATGGGTTACCCTGGGCCCGCCGTGCCCTCTGCAGTGGGGAAGCGGCAGGAGATGGAAGACCATGGCTGTGAGACACTGAGCAATCCAGTAGGAATTATGCTTGCCGGAAGGGCTGAGCGGTGGATGGATCTAGAGAAGCAGAACTCCGATCATGCTCTGGACAGACGAAAGGGGCGGCTTATCTGACTTGGTCATGTCTTGGGTTAGAAGACAAGCTTTCCATCAGATCAGCCGACTGACTTCCTCTGCGACTGTTGCGTTGACCCGCCAGATCTTTAATGTGGTAGCAGCACTGAGTAAGGAGGGTCCTTGGTAGAGGACTTTGGCAGCCACCATTCTTCTTGAAGTTTTATTTTATTTTAACTTTTCACAGAGGCAGGCCTGTGTTGCCCGGGTGGGAATACAATGGCTCACTGCACTCAACCGCACAATCATAGCTCACTGCAGCCCCAAACGCCTGAGCAGCCCTTTTTCTTAATCTAGAAATTAAGAAGGCAGAGTGGTATACGGAACAGAATGTTGACCCCCAAAGCGAAAAATCTTGGGTCTTAATGCCCAATCTGCCCATGAACAGCGTATGAATCTGGTTAAATCCTTGCCTTCCTCGAGCCCTCAGTTTGCTCGTTAGTAAAATGAAGATAATAAATTGGTTTTCATGGGGTGGGGGCTTGTAAATTTCCTTGCGATAACAGTTAGGAAGGGGCTTTCTAAAGCACTAAGCACTACATGATGTTACGCATACCTTGGCTTACAGATCAATCTGTTAGGAACAAGATGAATGGGACCCGATCCCCCCAGACCCCAATTAGCCAAGAGACTCGAAGGGAACTGAGATTTTTGGGTGGCCACCGCACCAAAGGCGAAGGGACTGAGTCACATTCCGCTTTCCTTCAGGCCCTCGTCTGGACCAGCTGGACCAGCTGGACCTCGTCTGGACCACCATGACAAAGACCGGGTCACAACTTGAGTCGAGCCTGCTCTGAGAGCTCCCAGCACATTCCATGGCAAAGTTTCTTTTTCTGCTGGGTTATTCATTCTGTCCTGAAAAGCCAGGGATGGGGGGAGGGTCTTGTCCTTCCACCTCGGCAGCCTGGCTGGCTTGCCTAACCCAAAGACACGGTTCTCACGCACTCCGCGGGCTACTGACTTATTCGTGTTCTTACAGACAGATCTTTTGCTCACCTGCTGGTGTCTTCGATTTATTGAGGTTCTTGGGCTTCCGTTTTCTGGTTTGAATCCCCTCTTTCCGCATTGCAAGAGGCCTGGGGACCTGGAGGGTCACAAGTCAACATGTACACGTATACATATGGTCTTCTGTTTGCATATAATCTGCCACCGTATTGAAATACACACACATGCACTACAAGAAGGCGCATCTAAGCGACCCCTCCACAAAGCCTTGGGGCTGAGACTGGGGGCACAGACCCCTGGAGCTTCTGCTGAGAGAGAAAAATCCATTCTATTTTTAAAGATGTGCAAGCATCTCTGTTATGTGGTGAGTATCTTACTACAGCTTGGAGGAGCAGAGAACTAAAGACAGTTCCTCCCTCCAGAAACTCACAGGTGAGTGAGAAAGACAAAGAGGAGAGATAACCAGAGTCTGTTAGGTAATGTGAGAAAACAGGGACAAAACACTAAACTTTGTCCTGGTCTGGGGGGTGCAGAGGAGGGAACACGAAGGTAAAGAGGAAGGCTTCACTGTGGGGGTGATGCCTAAGCTCTCAGAGGTTGAGTAGACAGGGACAGGCATTTCAAGGCAGCAGGAACAGTATGTGCAAAAGTCTTTCCCAGCCATACCTGGACACTGTGAAAACATAGAGATGCTAGCCGGCTGGGCTCGGTGGCTCAGCCTGTAATCCCAGCACTTTGGGAGGCCGAGGCGAGTGGATTGCCTGAGCCCGTGGGTTCGAGACCCACCTGGGCAACATCATCTCTACAATAAATAAAAAACTAGCTGGGCATGATAGTGCGTGTCTGTAATTCCGGCTACTTGGAAGGCTGAGATGGAAGGATCACCGGAGCCCAGGAGGTTGAGGCTGCAGTGGCTGGGAGCATGCCACTGTACTCTAGTCTGGGCGATGGAGTGAGACACCAACTCAAAAAGAGAGAGAGAGAGATGCTAGCAATAGTTATACCAGGAAAGTAGGCACCAGGAGGGACAGTCCTGGTGAGCTGGGACATGAAGTCACTACGTAGAGCAGCCCTATACCACCCTGGGTCTGGTGCTGTCTCCATGGGAGGTGGGAACAGCGAGAGATTATGCTGGAGAGACCACCCTGTGGCGGGCTCCTGAGACAAAGGGGCCCTGGACAACACTGTGACCACATCTGCCTCAAGCAGGAATGCTGGGAGGCGTGCCTTGAGCCATCTACAGATGCCTACGCCAGCCCCAGGGAGCAGGACCACACGTCTCTTTCCTGCAGATTTAGATCTCGTGCCATGCTCACGTCTGGTCTCTTAGCCCTGGTCTATTCCATGCTTGTCTACCCTGGGGATTCATGAAGGCCACGCCTGCAGATAAGGAAAGAAAAGCAGTAACTGCTTCAGAGACTTGAGCTTGGCATGATTAAGAGAAAAATGTACCCGCATACGTGAACTTGAGCTTGCCTCCTACTCAGCCGTGAGTAGATGAGATGGCATTCCCATCTCTGCCCACCATCTGCCCGTGACTCTGCAGCCAGTCACATGCTTCCTTTCCCTTTATTTTTTTTATTTGAATGTCTTCAAGCCATCCACCCCCTCCCTCGCCTCCGCCCTTCTTTTTGTTTGTTTGCTTTTTGAGTCGGGATCTCACTGTCACCCAGGCTGGAGTGCAGTGTCACGGTCACAGTTCACTGAAGCCTTGACCTCCTGAGTCCAGGCAATCCTTCCGCCTCAGCCTCCTGAGTAGCTGGGACGACAGGTGCATGCCACCACACCTGTTTAATTTTTTGACTTTTTGTAGATACAAGGTCTTGCTATGTTGCCAGGCTGGTCTTGAACTCCTGGGCTCAAGTGTCCCACCTCAGCCTCCCAAAGTGCTGGTATTGCAGACATGAACCACCATGCTTGCTAGGTTTGGTTTTCACTTTCCTTAGTGTCGTTTTCCAGTCACTATCATGTTTACACAATAAAATATATCTAACTTTTCATTTGTGGCTTAAGAGTTTTAAAACTTGTTTAAGAAGTCTGCCATCCCCAAGCAAGACTTGTCCTCATATTTTCTTCTAGAACTTTTATTGTATTTAACTTGTTTTCTGGTTTTCATTATAGCATTTTTATTGTCCAGTTTTAAAATTTCATTTTATTTCAAAGATGTTTTATGTTTATGATCTTTAATTCACCTACGTTTGTTTTTGTCTAAGATAGGAGATGAAGGTCATGAGTTGTTTTTGTTTTCCAGATGAATAGCCAATTATATCAATACGTTCTTCTTTTTTTTTTGAGTTGGAGTCTCACACTGTCACCCAGGCTGCAACGCAGTGGCACACTCGTGGCCATCCCAGCCTCAACCTGCTGGGTCTGGCGATCCCTCTGCCTCAGCCTTCCAAGAAGCTGAAACTACAGGCGCACTCTACCACACCCAGCTCATTTTTTTATTTATTGTAGAGACGAGGTCTCGCCAAGTTCCCCACAGGGTTTGTCTTGAACCCGTGGGTTCAGGCCATCCACTCGCCTCGGCCTCCCAAAGTGCTGGGATGACAGGCTGAATCACCAAGCCTAGCCAATACACTATTTTTAAACAAGCTACCCTTTACCCACTGGATCGAAGTGCCGCCTTTGTTATATATTATGCTATTCCTACAGACTAAGCACACATCGACACATACGTACGAACGACAGGAATTAACTTTGTACAATGTTAAAAACAGAAGAGATCGGCAAAGTTACGATTCCCTTCTGAATCTAAGTATTTCTGTGAAGAAGGAAAAAATGCCACTGGTGTAGAGAGTCATGACTGTCATGCCAGCACTTGGGGAGGCTGAGGCAAGAGGATCACTTGAGACCTGGAGTTCGAAACCAACCTGGGCCGCAAAGCGAGACTCCGTCTCTACAAAAAACAGAAAAAGCAGTCGGGCGTGGCAGTACATGCCTGTCATCCCAGCTACTCAGGAGGCTGAGGCAGCAGGACCACTTGATCCCAGGAGGGTGAGGCTGTAGTGAACCATGACTGTGCCAGCCTGGTGACAGAATGACCCCGTCTCAAAAAAAGAAGAAGGAAAAGGAATTCCAGTCTGGAGGGAAGAAGGCGATGAGAACTGAGAGACGGAGACGAAGGGGTGTCCGTCTGCGTGGGCACGGTGCGGGCAGGGGCGGGGTGGGCAGGAGGCACTCACCCCGTGGAGCTTCATGTAGAGGCCGCAGGCGTTGCACACGGGTTCGCCCTCGGCGTTACGGCGCCACAGCGTGGTGGTAGTGGTCTGGCAGTTGGCGCAGGAGAGGCCCACTCGGCGGGAGGCAGACTGCAAGACAGGAAACAGACTCTTTGCGTCTGGCCTCGCGTGCCCGCAGCCGGGCCTCCCCAGTGGGTGGCAGGGTGGGCCCTGGGAGGTGCCAGACCCAGGACGCACTTCACTCTCTCGCAGCTCCCAGGAGAGAACCAAACGTCTGCTTCCCGAGAAGGAGAGTGGCTTCGGGCACGGAAGAAAGCCCTGATGGCGGGTCCTACCTGTCATGCCCTGTCAGAGGAACAACCCAGCAAACGCTGGGCACCACGGGCAGGAAAGGTTCTCCCCAAAGTGGAACTGACGTGGGCTCCTGGTGGGGAAGGCGGTGGGGAAGGAGTTATTGGAGCCAAAGGGTATGAAAGACTGGCTTGGGAGCTCAAGAAAGGAAAGCCGGGTTTGGTGACTCACACTTGGAATCCCAGCACTCTGGGAGGCAGAGGCAGGAAGGTCGCTTGAGGCCTGGAGTCTGAGCCCAGCCCAGGCAACACAATGAGACTCTGCTCCGAAACAAAATAAAAGCCAAAAGAAAGAGCAGCGCCAAGGTTTATGCCCCCTGTTCCTCCCTTCCTAGTACACACGAAAGCTAGTTGGTATGGACCAAAATCAAGTCACATTTAAAAAGAATTGAAGCCGGGAGAGCTCCAAATCTGGGTCCCGGTCCCAGCCGCAAACTCTTCCCTGGCCAGAAGCTCAACCCAAACTGCTTGACCTTCCTGGACTTTGGGCTTTATCCAGTGACCAGCTGAAAACAGGTTAAAGACCAGTCTCTGGGCCAACCTTCCTCACAGGTCCCTGTGGACACAGGAGACGTTCTTGAGGCCGCCGGGCCGGGAGCCAGGTGCCTGGATTCTGAGAGACTCCCTGCCTGTGCGACCATGGGCCAGGTCCTTGGGTTTCCGGAGCCTCGCCTTCCACTTCTGCCGATTCCAGAGGCTCGGCCAGAGGGTCTGCAGTGTCCTCGCAGCCCCAGCTAGCTCTGACGTGGTGGGGATCACCAGGTGCCCCCTCCCGCCCTCCCACTCGCCCAGCCCCCGGACTCCAAAGTTCAAAGCCAGAGGGTTTTCCTGCTGAGTTGAGCGCCCCACCACTGGGCAGGCGAGCGCGCGGCCCCAGGCGGCGGGGCGCGGGGCACGGGGCGTGGGCTGTGGGCAGGCACTCACCAGCCGCCGCTGGGGCTTGATGAGTGGCCGGTTGATGCCGTTCATCTTGTGGTAGAGGCCGCAGGCGTTGCACAGGTAGTGGCCCGTCCCGTCCCTTCTCCAGAGCGGGGTGGACATGGCCCCGCAGTTGACGCACTCCCTGCCTTCCGAGAAGTCGTCGAACATATCTGCCAGGCGGAAGACACGCGTGAGGAAAGACAGACCGTGCCGTTTGTGCTCACACCCGGCGACCTTGGGAATCGAGACACTGCAGAAATAATGCCCCTTCTTTGGAAGGAGGGAAGGATGACCTGAGGCCGCCCTGGTCTTTCCTCATCCAAACTCCGCCCCCCGCGCAGCGGCTCCAGGTGGGACGTGGACCCCCCACCTCACCCCAGGCACAGCAGGACGCTGGCTGGAGGGGGAACACTGAGACTTCAGTCTCGATCTCTCATCTGGAGGCTCCAGCTGTGGGACCCTCACCCAACACTGAGGGCCACTCGGACCCTCTTTCTCTCTTTTTTCACCTTTCAAAAGAAAGATCACGTTTCTCTTTTAATAGAAATATAATAAATATCTACTTTGGGAAAATTAGAAAGTACCGAAACATGTAAAGAAGATACAGATCATCACCAGTGTGGGCATTTTGTCCTATTATATCCTTTGCAGCACTTATTTGTTGACATATTCTTGCCTCCTTGAGGTCAAGCCGAATAATTTTGAGCCATTTTTGTTCTGTTTAATACCAAAGCATCTTCCCACATGAGAAATTCTTTACAAACTCATTTAAGCATTGCATCATATTCCATCAGATAAATGTGCCACCATTTAACTATTATCATTCAACTATTACTTAATCTTTATCCAGTTTTGGACTTTTTTGGTAAAGACTGCTTGTTTTAAACATCAACCTGCTGGGCTCGGTGGCTCAGCCTGTAATCCCGCGCCTTTGGGAGGCTGAGGTGAGTGGATTGCCTGAGCCCGCAGGTCCGAGACCCGCCTGGGCAGCGAGACCTCATCTCTACAATAAAATCAAAAAAATTAGCCAGGCGTGGTAGCGCACGCCTGTAATTCCAGCTACTCGGAAGGCTGAGGCGGAAGGATCGCCGGAGCCCGGCAGGTCGAGGCTGCGTGGCCGGCAGCGGCCACTTGCACTCCAGTCTGGGCGACAGAGTGAGACTCCAACTCAAAAAAAACAAAAAACAAAAAAACATTAAAACGTCAACCTGCGCATTTCTAAAGGTCATGCATCAGGACATGCTTGTAAAAGCAGAATTTCTGGCCAGGTGTGATGGCTCACAACTGTCATCCCAGCACTTTGGGAGGCCGAGGAGGGAGGATAACTTGAGCCCAAGGAGTTTGAGACCAGCGTAGGCAACATAGTGAGACCTCGTGATATTCGAATTTTCTGTCCCTAAACACATCTCCCTTGGCCTCCAGATCACTCCTGTCCTGCTGCCAGAGATAAGGGTAGATTCCTCTCCAGGGACAGGGGACGCTGATTGGGGCAAGGGGCTGCAAGCTCTCTGACCATCAAGATCCAGCCCTGAGGCTCAGGGTCGCCCGTTCTGCTAGTTCTGAGGCCCAGCTCCCTGCTCTAAGGGAATGTGGGGCAGAGAAAGGAAGGTGGGGGGCCCTCCCCCAACTCTGGGTACACAAACAGTCATCTGCACCTGCAAACAGGTAGCTGTGTATCCGCACCAAGTAAACAACATGCAGGTGTGAGGGGCTGTTTGCTCAGGCCAGGGAGCCGAGCACAGCCGTCACAGGACAGGCTATTTTTATACCTGGGTCACACGACAGCCCTCCACCAAGGTCACTTGCCTTCAGAGCGGCACATGACACAGCGACTCCGCCCATGGCCTGCTCCCACCGGGACCACCGTCCTCAACACTATCATCACCACCTCCGCAGCCAGTGTCCACGACCTGTCAGCCCAACCCTTCCACCCAGGACCTCCCGTGAAGCAACTAGAGCGGCCAGGAGTTCACAGAAGGACCCCAGCCCAAGCCAGCTGGCGCCAGGTGGGGAACGCCAGCAATGCTGTCTTTCTGTTGGGTGTTCACGATCAACACTAGATGGCACTGCAGTCCCAAAACTGAACTGAGAGCGCGTTCTAGCCTAAACCATGCTTTGAAGATCACCTTTCCAGTCCAAACTTGGTGCGACCCTCTTGTTCTACTTTTCCTAATTGTGAAAAATGTCTTAACATGCTCAGAAGGGGACAGAATATTAAAGCGAACTCTTAATCACCACCCAGCTTCCAACAATCTGTGGTCAATCTTATCTATCCTTCTGCCCATTTCCCCCATATCATATTATTAAAGAAAGCCTCGGATGTTCTATCATCTTCTTCATAATTATCTCAGTGTCTTGCACGAACAGATAAAGATTCGCTCTCTTCTTTTAAAGATAAGCAAACTGGCTTCTTTCCTACATCTGGCTCATTTAAACACCGCAGTCAAAAATCTCATAATCCGTTCCCCCTCTGTGGTGGGGAGATCCCTTTCCTCGTCACAATGATTGTTTTATAAGCAGGGACAGAGTCTTCTTAAAGGATGCGGCAATCCCCCGAGGTCTCTTCTCTGCCGGTTGCCCACCTTCTGCTACCTTGAGAACCCACACAAAGGTCTGCCTGGGACACTCTCTCAGGCTTGCCTCAAAGATGGGTGACACATTCAAGCAACGATTTTGCTGGCCAGGTAAAGTCACCAGAGGCTGGCAAATGTGTATTTGTCACCAACAAATATTTACTGAGCATTTGCTATTGAATCACCTCAAGAGCTGTCACAGGAGCTGAGAGGGGCCCTTGCTCCAGGAATGCCAGTGACCACATTGGATGAGCTGGACCTGAAGAGCAACAGCCGAGGGTAACAACATCACTCAGTTCGTTTTCGGAGCACACCCTCAACAGAGAGGGGGACTGGTGGCAGACACCACCTGTCTAAGGTCGGAAGCACAGAGGTCCCACCCTCACAGAAGTCCCCCTACGATGGAAGGGACGGGGGTTGCAGCGGCGGCAGAGGCAAAGACCATGGTTCCTGCCTAAGACACCAGTCAAGCCGGGCTTGGTGACTCAGCCTGTAATCCCGCGCCTTGGGAGGCTGAGGTGAGTGGATTGCCTGAGCCCGCGGGTTCGAGACCCACCTGGGCAACTTGGTGAGACCTCATCCCTACAATAAATCAAAAATTAGCCAGGTGTGGTAGTGCGCGTCTATAGTTCCAGCTACTTGGAAGGCTGAGGCGGAAGGATTGCCAGAGCCCAGCGGGTCGAGGCTGCGGTGGCTGGGAGCGGCCACTGCACTCCAGTCTGGGTGACAGAGTGAGACTCCAACTCAAAAAAAAAAAAAAAAAAAAAAGACACCGGTCAGACAATCCACTGCTCTTCCAAATCTGCAGAAGTTACCATATTTTCTGCTGCAAAATCTTGCCATCCAACCGGCTCAATGAAATGTTACATACATTTTAATTTTTTTTATTTATTTTTGAGTCAGAGTCTCACTCTTGTCACCCAGGCTGGAGTGCAGGGGCCCGCTCATGGCCACCACAGCCTGGACCTGCTGGGCTCAGGCGATCCTTCCGCCTCTGCCTTCCAAGGAGCTGGAACTACAGATGCACACCACCATGCCCGGCTAGTTACGTACATTTTAAAAGGATTATTATAAAGACGGTATAACCATAAAGAAAAATGTTTACCCCATAATGTTAAGTGAAAAATGCAGCACATAAAACCATAAACATACACTGTAAAGGCAGCTAAGACTACCAGGAAGCAACTTTTTTTAGACTAATTAAATTGTGTAGACTTAAAAAAAAAAAAGCCTACATCATTCTATAAGGTCATAACTGCCTCTTTTCTTTTTTTTTTTTAATTTGAGGGCCAGGCATGGTAGCTCATGCTTGTGATTCCAGCACTTTTGGGAAGCCTAGGTGAGAGGACTGCCTGAGCCCAGAGGTTTGAGACCAGCCTGGGCAACTTGGCGAGACCTCATCTCTACAGTACATCAAAAAATTAGACAGACGTGGTGGTGGCGCTCGCCTGTGGTTCCAGCTACTTGGAAGGCTGAAGAGGAAGAATTGCCTGAGCCCAGCGGGCGGAGACTGCGGTGACCGTGAATGTGCCCCTGCACTCCAGCCTGGGCGACAGAGTGAGACTCCAACTAAAAAAAAAAAAAAAGAAAGAAGGAGAAAAAAAATATGACCACCCCAAGCTGCTCCCATTCCAGACTGGGGAAGGTAGCGTTTTACCCTCTTGTATCTGACACACATACCTTCCCCCCATCCTCCTACTGAATGGAGAAAATGAAGTCCCAGCCTTGGGGCTCAGCACCTGCCCTGAGGAAGCAGGAGTGACAGGCTGCCCCCAAACCAGGCTGGCATCTGGGGGTAGTCACGCCCACTTCTCATTCCAGGTGGAACTTTCCAAAGGGCAAGTGCGATTCCTGAGGCAGGGGCACAGCTCTGGCCTCTGACTGGTGCATCCCCGCCACCCACCCACCCACGCACCTGGGGCTGGCATCCTGGGAACTGGCCCAACCACCTGGAAGACAGTGGGAATCCAACCCTCAGAGGTGGACCAGGGTCACCCCATGTTCAGAAGGAAAGACTTGTAATAGTTGTACTTTGCCAAAGAGGAGAAGAACTCACAACAATGACTGTAAAGTGCTCTGCAAACATCCAATGAGATAACAATGATGGATTGTTGCTGGGAGCTGGGGGTGAGGGGTCTGGAGGGAGTGGAAAAGGCCAGGGATGAACCTTGGTGCCAGGTGATTGGGGAGGAGGGGAGGACAGATAAAAGAGCTAAGAGACTTGGGAATCTGACCTTTTCTTAAACCACTGAGGCCAGGCTCAGAATCGTCTGTCGCGCTGAGACTTGGTCAAGGTTGATACTGCAGGCCAGAAACCAGCTGACAGCAAGGCCGGCAGTGTATATTTATGAGGTCTCAAATTGCAGTTCTCGGGAGGTATTCACCAATGACTATTTCAGCAATCAAAATCATAAAATGAGTTGTGTCCTGACCCCAAGGATGGGGATCTAATTCCTCATTTCCACCCCTGTCCTGCTTAAAAAAAAATTCTGGCACTTTGGAAGGCTGAGGTGGGAGGATCACTTGAGCCCAGGAGGTCAAGGCTGTAGTGATCCACGATCATGCCACTGCACTGCAGCCTGGGTGACAGAGTGAGAGACCCTGGTGCAAAAAGTAAAAAAAAATTCTTTTAAATGAGAAATAAACTTAGTCTGATTTCTTAGACATCCGGTGTAGACTGAGATCCCTAGGACTTACGGCAAATAATTCCCACCCAAGTGC